AATATTAATAATAATGAACTATTCATTATATTAAAATATTTATATATAAATATTAAAAAAAAAATATTGACCCCTCATGATAAATTTCTAGCTCCACCCCTTAATTCCTCCTACATTCACATATTATTCAGCTAAGGAATTAATTCATGTCCAACACTAACTATAGCATTCAGAACATAGTGGATAAATAAGAATAAAATACGAGATTAGTTAGCATATTTTATATTTGATTGAAAAGCAAATACAAAAAGTATATCACGCATTATTCTCTCTAGCTCTCTCCCTCTCTCTCTCTCTGGTGTATTGAATGCTAGGTCGTGAATTGGATATGTATGATTGATAACTTTATGGTCAACATAATGGAAAAGCACATAGTGTTTTACGGGGATAAAATTAAAACAAAGTCGCTATCACTTATGGTTAGATTTCTATCAACAAGAAATACAAGCCTGATTCTATGCAAATTAAATCTTCTTTATACATGCCCCACCATTTCTTTTCTTCTACATTAATTCTTCACTAAAGATAATTATTTTTTAGTCGATTAAAATTATTGTGAATAACAAATTTCTTTTTACTAAATATTTAATATAATTATATACTTAAGACTCGAACTTGAGATAACTTTCTATCCATTGATCAACGTACTTGTTAATTATCACTAAATTTAATAGGAGATAAATAATTAATCTACTTAACAAGAATGAATTATATAGAGGATAGGATTGTGACATTGGATATATGTCTCAGAACGCGCTTAGAGTCTGAAGAGGCAAGCACTGTGTTTTTATGGATATGGAATTGACCACCACTATAACCCTAATCAACCAATTATGATATTGCCATGCATGAAACATAATATTAATTAAAGGATTCACTTTCTTAGCTGGGCCTGGCAAAGCAAAACTAAAGCACTCCCTTGCACTAGGACTTCTTCTTCTTTTTTTTTTTTCCTCAATTAAGGTGAATCAAGGCTTAATTAGTGATTAATTATATTCACTTTATAGAGGTGGTAGGGACCATGTATATATATGTAAAGAGAGTGCAAGAGAGAGAGAGCAAATAATGCCCAAACCAGAAATTTTTTAATCATGAAATTTTATGTCAAGTTGTATTATATAGTAAACAAGGTCACTATCTGTGTTCTTTGTGTGTTTTCCGGGAAGGTCACAATCAAGAATTATATGAGCATTAGTGAAGATCCACTATGGAAAAAAGAACAAAGTTTAATACAAGAACAAATCAACAGGGGATTGTCCTTTATTAAATCCTTGAATTATTGGAAAATTTGGATGAGGAAAGGAGCAAAATGACAGATTTTTCAAAAACGCCCTCCTTGTACCAATGAAATTGTACGTAAATAACATTGGTCCCCAATGAAATAAAAGTGAATATATAAAAGTGATCTTTGTTATCTACCTTGCTGTCTATATAAATTGATGGTGGCTTTTCAAATAATTAGGACACAATTTCTTTTTCGAAGAAAGCAAAAGAGTGCACAGAAAATTAAGAGGTATGTAGTGTTTGTTGAAAAATAAATACTTGCATAATGAATATTATAGTAACATATTTGACTCTACGGAAATGCTAATTATTCTTCTCATTAATATTTGAATCAATGCAATACCTTGTGGTAATTGAAATATAAAGACGAGATACTAATTTAGGTGAGTTAAAAAAATATTTTAAAATAGTTAATATTGATCAGATTTAATTAAAGTTTTTGAATTCATAAATAATTGAACTTAACCATCCAAATAAAATAAAGATTAAAGTAATAATTATTCATACTCAAAAATTGGACTTATTTTAGTTCATCTTTAATTTTTATTACTGATGTACGAAAAATCTTATTTGAAAGTGTGATTTGTAACTTTTTTTTGTATAATGTACCTTATTATAAATCTAGATGAACCGAATAATTTTTAAATAGTTGAGTGTATAAAACAAAACACAAGAACTGAAAAAAATAATAATAAATTAGATAAAATTTTATTTAAACCAATTAAATGATTCAAAGTCCAATAAATTTTTACCCGTAAAAATTATCCATTAAAATCGAGATCCTTTTAAACAAAAATGCCTCTAAACCAATAAACCATTTGATCAAGTTTAAATCTAAATAATAAATATGTGATTATATCAATTTACACTATAACAACCCAAAATTGACTTAGCGGGATCATTGATCACTCCTAACAATATCCATGAAACAACTGTTATATGTAAATCAACCACTAACACTATCATTACAGAACTAGGAGGACTGCGTATCAACTATAAAGATGATTGGGACATTTTGAAGAGAACTTTATCCATATTTATCTGCAACAAATTAATAATTAAAGTCTTTCTGATAAGCTTGGATAGTTGATCTTGTTATGTACACTCAAAACACAGACTTGGTTTGAATTTTGGTGAAGTCACAACACAACAACTAACCCATTCCCATGGCTTTCCTACTGGCATGAAAAACATGTGGACTTTGAAACATTTATAAAACATATCAGAGTATTTTATTCTTATAACCCACATGCAGATCAATAATTCTTTGAGGAGTAGAGTAAGTATTACCAAGGAGTAAGGACCCACCCTAATAAGTAACTAGCTTGATTCCCACCAAGAAAGTCACTTGCAAATTGTTTCAAAATGAGGATTTTGTTGAAACAATCAAGAGGAAATGAACAATTTTGTCCCTAAAATTATCACTCGCTATCACTTTATTCTCTAAATTTAACGAAATTTTAAAAGAAAAATCATCAAAACTATAATTTGTCACAATTTAATTTTTCTACTAATTCAAATCTGTTTTCTTTAATGAAAGTACTCGTAAAGCACAATAATGTCAAATGTGAAGTGTGTCACATGATATATATTGCCTCATATATATATATATATATATATATATATATATATACTCTCTCTCTTTTTTTG